TTTTTAAATTTCTTATATCTCATTTTCTCCTTTTCGTTTCCTCTCTTTTATTTCACACAAAATTTTTCTAAATCTTTGGCTTTCTTCACACTTCACAGTGGCTCTTTAGTCTTTCCTTTACATTTTTTTTAATCTTCCAAATTTGAATTATATTAGGATGGAAGAAGGTGGAAACAAACGCAAGCATCCCGGTTGGCAATACATCATATTGGATGATCCAAAAGGTACAAACACATGCAAATGCGTGTTTTGTGGAAAAATTACCAAAGGTGGAGTTTGCCGAGCAACAAACCATTTGGTTGGGGGAAATAGAAATGTAAAGGCATGTTTGAAATGCCCAACTAATGTGAGAGAAGAATTGAARGAGTATCAAACAAGAACAAAAGCAAGAAGGGAAGAGAGTAATGCCCTCCCAACGTATGAAGATTTAACTTTGATTGAAGAAGATGATGAAGATGAAATGGAAGTAGTTGGTGGTAGTGGTAGTGGATCTGGATCAACATCAACCCCAATGAACAAGCGAACAAGAATAAACACAGGTGATAATGTGAATGGGTGGGAGAGGGAGAGGAAGTGGAAGTGGAAGTGGAAGTAGTAACTCTTGTAGTCCATCAGTGTTAAAACCACCGCGACCAAAGGGGCCAATAGATAAATTTGTTTATCAACATCCTGGAAAAGTTGATGATAGAAATCGATTGAAGAGGTTGAAGCAATCAACTATTACTGAAAAATATGATAAAGAGGGGAGAGATGCTACAGTGAAATTCATCATGCGTTGGATATATCAAGCAGGTATTCCTCTAAATACTATTCGCTTGAGAAGTTTTGAAGTGATGCTAGAAGCTGTGGGGCAATTTGGCCCTGGTTTGATACCTCCTTCTTATCATGAAGCTCGAGTAACGTACTTGAAAAAAGAAGTACAGTACACAAAAAATCTTMTGGGCGATCATSAGGTAGAATGGAAGAGAAATGGTTGTTCGCTGATGTCAGATGGGTGRACTGATAGGAGGGATAGGACACTGATCAACTTTTTAGTTCATTCATCTGTTGGAACGTTGTTTATGGAATCCATCGATGCATCTTCATGCATCAAAACTGGAGAAAAGATTTTTCAACTCTTAGATGG